GATGGAAAAATCTCCAAAAGGCATCAAATTACAGATTAGACATTCTTATAATATGTCAACAAAAGTTAGATTTTATTTCCATCATTTACACTTTCAAAATAACAGAAAACAAAAAAATGGCATCTGCAAAAGTTTGGGCACCCTGCAGAATTTATAGCATGCACTGCCCCCTTTGCCAAGATGAGAACTGCCAGTGTCATGGATTGTTCTCAATCATCGTCTGGGAAGACCAGGTGATGTCAATCTCTAAGGTTTTAAATGCCCAGACTCATCTGACCTTGCCCCAACAATCAGCACCATGGGTTCTTCTAAGCAGTTGTCTAGAAAACTGAAACTGAAAATAGTTGACGCTCACAAAGCTGGAGAAGGCTATAAGAAGATAGCAAAACATTTTCAGATGTCAATATCCTCTGTTCGGAATGTAATTAAGAAATGGCAGTCATCAGGAACAGTGGAAGTTAAAGCAAGATCTGGAAGACCAAGAAAAAATATCAGACAGAACAGCTCGCAGGATTGTGAGAAAAACAATTCAAAACCCACGTTTGACTGCACGATCCTTCCAGAAAGATCTGGCAGACACTGGAGTTGTGGTACACTATTCCACTATAAAGAGATACTTGTACAAATATGGTCTTCATGGAAGAGTCATCAGAAGAAAACCTCTTCTACGTCCTCACCACAAAAATCATCGTTTGAACTTTGCAAATGAACATATAGACAAGCCTGATGCATTTTGGAAACAAGATCTGTGGACCGATGAGGTTAAAATTGAACTTTTTGGCCGGAATGAGCAAAGGTACGTTTGGAGAAGAAGGGGCACAGAATTTAATGAAAAGAACCTCTGTCCAACTGTTAAGCATGGGGTTGGATCAATCATGCTTTGGGGTTGTGTTGCAGCCAGTGGCACAGGGAACATCTCACGAGTAGAAGGAAAAATGGATTCAATAAAATTTCAGCAAATTTTGGATGGTAACTTGATGCCATCTGTGAAAAAGCTGAAGTTAAAGAGAGGATGGCTTCTACAAATGGATAATGATCCTAAACACACCTCGAAATATATGGGGGATTACATCAAGAGGCGTAAACTGAAGGTTTTGCCATGGCCTTCACAATCTCCTGACCTCAACAGAATTGAAAATCTATGGATAGACCTTAAAAGAGCAGTGCGTGACAGACAGCCCAGAAATCTCAAAGAACTGGAAGACTTTTGTAAGGAAGAATGGGCAAAGATACCTAAAACAAGAATTGAAAGACTCTTGGCTGGCTACAAAAAGCGTTTACAAGCTGTGATACTTGCCAAAGGGGGCAGTACAAGATATTAACTCTGCAGGGTGCCCAAACTTTTGCAGACGCCATTTTTTTGTTTTCTGTTATTTTGAAAGTGTAAATGATGGAAATAAAATCTAACTTTTGTTGACATATTATAAGAATGTCTAATCTGTAATTTGATGCCTTTTGGAGATTTTTCCATCTTTCCTTGGCTTCTTTATGCACATTAATACAAAATTTTAGCTGGGGTGCCCAAACTTTCGATCCCCACTGTATATTGTATATTCATATCAGTCCCTAACCCTCAAGGGGCATACAATCTAAGGTCCCTAACTTACATTCATACATACACATATTAGTGCCAATTTAGACAGGGTCCAATTAACCTACCAGCATGTCTTTGGAGTGTTGGAGGAAACAGGAGTACCTGAAGGAAACCCACGCAGGCACAGGGAGAACATGCAAACTCCAGGCAGGTGGTGCCGTGGCAGGGATTCAAACCAATGACCCGAGTACTGCCAGGCGGAAGTGCTAACCATTTAGCCACTGTGCTGCCCACATAGTGGGCAGGACAGGGGTACACAGGGTGCAGGAGGGTGGCACTTTATTGGGCTGTGTGGAAGCAAACAGCAACAGTGTTGCCGCCTGAATGCTTCCTCCTCACAGGTGAGTCCTGCTGCTTACCTACAGCAGGGCTAAAGCTTTAAAAAAAATACCTGTGTGGCGCCCAGAACTACATGTCCCAGGCGCCAGGCGATACAAATAAACATCCCTGCCCTAGTTTGTGGACTTTATAACTTTTGTGGGTTTTTTTTTTTTTTGTTACCAAAGAAATGTAGAATCCATTTTGGCCTAAATTTATGAACAAAGATTATTTATTTGTAATTTTTTTAATAGTAAACTATGAATAACGTGTTTTTTTTTAAATTTCTAGATTTTATTTATATAGCACAAAATAAAAAAACCCAGTGAACAAATACCACCATAAGAAAGCTCTAATTGTGTGGGGGAAAAAAATTATATAATTTTATTTGGGTACAGTGTTGCATGACCACACAATTGCCAGTTAAAGTAGCGCAGTGCTGAATATCAAAAACCTGCTCTGGTTATAAAGGGGTAAAACCATACCTTTCGTACATTCCTTAAGTAGTTAAGGAATATATCAAACTCAGCTTTTGAATTTCAGGAATTTTGGAGGGGGAAAAAAAGTAGCAGCAACAGGAAACAAAAATGCCAGCAACAATTGCTTGTCGACTCCAGGTTGTCAGAGGAGTCTTGTAGTCCGCATGCTAATGACAGGTCAGCCCTCCAGGAATCCTGATGAGCCGTTCGTCCCTCCATGAAGACACACAGTGGCAGGCTGCTCCCCCTCCCGCCCAGAGCACATAATTTATCGCCGTATACAGACCTCTCCCCGCTCCCTCCACTCCCCCTGTCCGCCCGGCCCAGCATTCCTCCACCGACTCATGTCACACGGCCATACCAGCACACAGAGCCCCCGAAAAACCGTGCGGGCGGGGACCCCCCGACCCCCCCGCGTTCTATGTCCTCCATACATTATCGTATACAACCCCCTCCCTCATCACACACCCCATCCCCCGTGTCCTGCGGCTGCACTCACAACACGACCCATGCAAAACGGCGGCCTGCACTGCCCGCCCCTCTCATCCTTATCATAAATATATAAATTATGCTAATTAACAACATTGCATATTAACCAAACCGAACAGAAAAAAAAAATGCGTATCCTATCCCCCCCACCCCGCGCCGTTATCTGTAGGTAGGCCCGGCTTGTGACCCCCCCTCCCTGGTAGAGTAAAACGAGGTGACTTACCGGGAAGAAGCGGAGTCCGGACGGCGGCGGAGGGATACATTGTGCAGCCGTAGGCTATGGCGGTGTCACACTGGGCGCCTCATTACTAATTCACCTCAGGGCTCTGCGGCTGGCCGGGCACCGGGAGCACACAATAATAATAATAGGGGGTATTTGCATGAATAGAGAGAGGGGCTCCTTGAAGAAAAGGGACACCTCTTATTAATATGTAATCACCTTTTCTCTCCCCCGGCTATGCCCCCTGGCAGCTCTATGACTCCGACAGCTCGTGCAGTGTGGGCTTAGACGGAGCCTAGGCACAAATCCGCCGTCTCGTCTTATAAAGTTCAATGCAGTTTTTACATGAACATTTTTTTGCAGCTGCGTCATGAACATAATATATGCAGAACGAGCGCTGCATACTGAGCCTGAATATGGAGCCGGGGACTAGAGGGAGCGCTTGTTCTCTTAAAGAGCCATCCACACACAGCCAGGCGGCAATTTGCGCCCACAGACGTGTCAGGGGTGCAGTGCTGCTGGCTGTGAGGGGACCTCTGGGAGAGACCCTATTATGTCTACACACATCTAGATGGACTCATGCAGCTTCATTCATTAATAAATCATGTTTATTGCAGATTAGAAGGACTCTTTTTTTTTCACAGTGCGGTGTTTGAACATTTGTTGATATAAATAGTATAAGGCCTCCTTTCATGTAGGTTACATGAACCTGTACTCTGTGTGACGGCCGTGTTTACCTGCATGGGGATGCACAACTGTATAATGCATCCCTGTGCCAGTCTCATTGCTGTCAAATGGTACACAACCTCTGCTCCAGATGTTCAGGGCTGTCACAATGGGAGGAGCGGCTGTGTCCCTGCAGGTGCTGCATCCCAATGGACATGAATGAGGCTGGCACAGTGATGCGCAGTAGAGGGCCCTCATACTGGGTACAGATTCATACGCTCTGTGTGAAGGAGGCCTAAGATATACAAAAATGCCTCGTTCATGCAGGCTATATTAACCCATACCCTGTGTGAGGGCTGTGTTTACCTGCATGGGGATGCTCAGCTGTATAACGCATCCCTGTGCCAGTCTCATTGCTGTCAAATGGGGCCAGGGGCGGGCTGACAACTCATGGGGCCCCCGGGCAATAGGGTATCATGGGGCCCCTGTGTCCTTGCCCAAACTCAAAAAAGCCTATGAAAAAGGTACCAGGGGCATCTCATGGGGCCCCCTACTGACCCTGGGCCCTTAGGCAGTGCCCGAGTTTCCAAATGGTCAGTCCGCCCCTGAATGGGACACAACCGCTGCTCCCAATGCGATGTTCAGGGCTGTCACAATGGGAGGACCGGCTGTGTCCATGCAGGTGCTGCATCCCAATGGACATGAATGAGACTGGCACAGTGATGCGCAGCAGAGGGCCTTCATACAGGGTACAGATTCACACGCTCTGTGTGAAGGAGGCCTAAGATATACAAGAATGCCTCATTCATGCAGGTTATGTTAACCTGTACTCTGTGTGAGGGCCGTATTTACCTGCATGGGGATACTCAGCTGTATAACGCATCCCTGTGCCAGTCTCATTGCTGCCAAATGGGACACAACCGCTGCTCCCAATGCGATGTTCAGGGCTGTTACAATGGGAGGAGCGGCTGTGTCCATGCAGGTGCTGCATAACAAATGGACATGAATGAGACTGGCACAGTGATGCGCGGCAGAGGGCCCTCATACTGGGTACAGATTCATACGCTCTGTGTGAAGGACGCCTAAGATATACAAAAATGCCTCATTCATGCAGGCTATATTAACCCATACCCTGTGTGAGGGCTGTGTTTACCTCGGCCCCACTCAGCTGTATAACACATCCCTGTGCCAGTCTCATTGCTGTCAAATGGGGCCAGGGGCGGGCTGACAACTCATGGGGCCCCCGGGCAATAGGGGATAATGGGGCCCCTGTGTCCTTGCCCAAACTCAAAAAAACCTATGAAAAAGGTACCAGGGGCATCTCATGGGGCCCCCTACTGACCCTGGGCCCTTAGGCAGTGCCCGAGTTTCCAAATGGTCAGTCCGCCCCTGAATGGAACACAACCGCTGCTCCCAATGCGATGTTCAGGGTTGTTACAATGGGAGGAGTGGCTGTGTCCATGCAGGTGCTGCATCCCAATGGACATAAATGAGACTGGCACAGTGATGCACAGCACAGGGCCCTCATACAGGGTACAGATTCACACGCTCTGTGTGAAGGATGCCTAAGATATACAATAATGCCTCAATCACACAGGCAATGATTTCTATATAACGTGAACAGGGCATTTGTTGCAGTATGTCAACTTCCAAACGCACATTTCAGGGCACAATGATGTCACATTGACAGTAGTGGCTGTGTCCGTGCAGACTTTGTGTCCCAATTGACATGAATAAGACTGGCAGAGGGACGCATGGAACATTTGTGTATCCCATTGTGGTTAAACACGGCCCTCACCCAGGTTGCAGATTCATATGCTCTGTGTGAATGAGGCCTAAGATATAACAACACGGCCTCATTCACATATCGTGTGAACAGGGCATTTTTTGCAGCATCTCAGCTTCCAGGTGCTACATTCAGACAGCCAATAAGAAGCATGGATTTCACGGACACAGCCACTGCTCCTAGTGTGACACCTGTGCAGGTACACTGCCCCAAACACACATTCAGGGTCATGCACCCACACAGATGTCACATTGGGCGCTGTGGCTGTGTCTGCGCAGCTGCTGCATCCCATTTGAAATTAAGGGGACAAGCAGAGGGATGCATGGAACACCTGTGCATCCCAGTGCCATAAACAAGGTCCTCACATAGGGTACAGATTGATACGCTCTGTGTGAATGAGGCCTAAAATATAACAAGAAGGCCTTATTCACACAGGCGATGATGTCTATATAGCGTGAACGGGGTATTTTTTGCAGCATCTCATCTTCCAGGTTCTGCAATTAGACAGCCAATAAGAAGCAGGGATTTCACAGACACAGCTGCTGGTCCCAATGTGCTAGGTGTGCAGGTGCTGCTGAGGAGCCCCATACACAGGCAGTGTGCATTCAAGGCTGCCCAACCACACCTGGTGTCCTGGTAAGCTTGCTATATAATCCCATTTTTGGACACTTACATTAAGGGTCGGTTCACACTTTAGAAACGCAGTCCAGATGCGTTCCGGATGCGTTTCCACATGCACATTTATGACGCATTCCAGTGTGTTTTTTATGCATTTCAGTACATTTTCCCCCTCTCTTTTTCTTCAATTTAAATAGGGACATGTGCGTTCCAGCGGGTTTTTGGTGTGTTCCGGTGCACTTTTGATGCGTTTTACCACATTCCAGTACAGTTCTGTGCAGAAAAAATGCATCATATTCTACTTTTTTTTCTGCAACCGGAATGCACTGGAACTGCAAGCACTGATGTGAACTATGACATTGACAACCATATAACCTACTTTCTGCACATTTTGGATGCAGAAAAAAAGCAACCGAAACGCATGTAGTGTGAACTGGCCCTTAAGGCTGGTTCACACTACATGCATTCCAGTGCTTTTTTTTCTGCCAAAACACACCGAAAGTAGGTTAGATGGTTGTCGGTTCACATCAGTACTTGCAGTTCCAGTACGTTCCAATTCATAAAAAAAAAGAACAGTAGAACAGGCTGCATTTTTCCTGCACAGAACTGTACTGGAATGCGGTAAAATGCACTGGAACACATCAAAAATGCACTGGACCCCAAATGACGGGGAAAAAAAGCATCTGGAACGCATTACAAAATGCACCGCAACATGTCAAAAACCCATATGCAGAAATGCATCCAGACTGTGTTTCTATGGTGTGAACCAACCCTAAAAGTAGACCCACAGAAGGGGCGGACTGACCATTTGGACACTCGGGCACTGCCCGAGGGCCCGGGGTCAGTAGGGGGCCCCATGAGATGCCCCTGGTACCTTTTTCATAGGCTTTTTTGAGTTTGGGCAAGGACACAGGGGCCACATGATCCCCCCCCCCCCATGAGTTGTCAGTCCGCCCCTGACCCACAGTAAGACCACACATTACAGAAGCACTTTGACATAGCTTCACATATACTTGCAAATAAGTTATAGTTATCTTTGCTGGCTCACTGAGGAATTTTCACTTTGCCTTAGCTGCATGGCCTTTCTCTATACTAGTCAGAAACCATGCAATTGTCAAATGTCTGGTGTCATAACTGATCACATGTGCAGCACCATGGCAATTGCAGATCAAGCAGAGGTTAAGGGGGCAGGTTCCTTTGCTGAAAATGATAGGAGGGTTTAGTTCCACCTTAAAGTGGAACTCTAGTCAGAAAATTCAATCTTGCTAGATCACTTCATGCTGGCCCCTTTTGCAGGTATAGCTATGTAAAACATTAAAAATGCATGCCTATACTGGTTAAAATCCAGTAATACACGGTCTCACCCTGCTCTGCACATGCTCAGTTGCTCTCCATTTTTAGACATTTTTAGAAGCTGATTTGCTGACATTCTAACGATTAAAGCAAAACTATACCCACTGATTTACCTAATTCAAAAAACAGTTGCTTTCCCTGCATGCCAGGAATGCTAACTGTCACATTTGCTTGTGTTCTCCACCAAACTATCAAACTGTCAAATGGCTGGTGTTAAAACTGATCATATGTGCACCTCCATGGCAGTTACAGACCAATATCTGAAAAGTGTGGTGTGCATTTGTATTCAGCCCCCCTAAGTCAATAGTTTGTAGAACCACCTTTCGTTGCAATTACAGCTGCAAGTCTTTTTGGGGATGTCTCTACCAGCTTTGCACATCTAGAGAGGGACATTTTTGCCCATTCTTCCTTGCAAAATAGCTCATACTCTGTCAGATTGGATGGAGAGCGTCTGTGAACAACAGTTTTCAAGTCTTGTCACAGATTCCCAATTGGATTTAGGTCTGGACTTTGATGGGCCATTCTAACACATGAAGATGCTTTGATCTAAACCCTTCCATTGTAGCTCTGGCTGTAATGTTTAGAGTTGTTGTCCTGCTGGAAGGTGAACCTCCGCCCCAGTATCAAGTCTTTTGCAGACTCTAACAGGTTTTCTTCTAAGATTGCCCTGTATTTGGCTTCATCCATCTTCCCATCAACTCTGATCAGCTTCCCTGTCCCTGCTGAAGAAAAGCATCCCCACAACATGATGCTGCCACCACCATGTTTCACGGTAGGGATGGTGTGTTCAGGATGATGTGCAATGTTAGTTGTCTACCACACGTAGCGTTTTGACTTTAGGCCAAAAAGTTACATTTTGGTCTCATCTGACCAGAGCACCTTCTTTCACATGTTTGCTGTGCCCCCACATGGCTTCTCTCAAACTGCAAACGGGACTTCTTGTGGCTTTCTTTCAACAATGGTTTTCTTCTTGCCACTTTTCCATAAAGGTCAGATTTGTGGTGTGCATGACTAAGAGTTGTCCTGTGGACAGATTCTTCCACCTGAGCTGTGGATCTGCAGTTCCTCCAGAGTTACCATGGGCCTCTTGGCTGCTTCTCTGATTAATGCTCTTCTTGCCCAGCCTGTCAGTTTAGGTGGACGACCAAGTCTTGGTAGGTTTGCAGATATGCCATACTCTTTCCATTTTCAGATGATGGATTGAACATCGCTCCGTGAGATGTTCAAAGCTTCGGATATTTTTATTTATAACCTAACTTTGCTTTAAACTTCTCCACAACATTATCCCTGACCTGTCTGGGGTGTTCACTTGGCATTCATGAGGCTACTTGTTCACTAATGTTCTCTAAGAAACCTCTGAGGGCTTCACAGAACAGCTGTATTTATACTGAGATTAAATTACACAAAGGTGGACCATTTACTAATTAGGTGACTTTTGAAGGCAGTTGGTTCCACTAGATTTTAGTTAGGGTTATCAGAGTAAAGGGGGCTTAATACAAATGCAAGCGGCACTTTTCACATATTTATTTAGAAAAAATTTTGAAAACCATTTATCATTTTCCTTCCAGTCACAATTATGTGCCACTTTGTGTTGGTCTATCACATAAAATCCCAATGAAATACATTTACGTTTTTGAATGAGGAAAGAACAAAGAGAGGGTGCACAGGCCTAGTGCATTACCATAAAAAATGTTTAATAAGAAATAAAGTAGGTGTTGTACTCACAAATGACAATAAAGTCAAGGCTCTGAGGAAGAGGCAAGTCCTCGAAATGCGTCAGCCTATTGGATGTCTACATTCCCCATTACGGACTGTTACTCAGCGCGGTGTTGACCCAGCTGTTCTTTTATGACGTGCCTTGACTTTATTGTCGTTTGTGAGTACAACACCTATTTTATTTTTTATTAAACATTTTTTTATGGTAATGCACTAGGCCTGTGCGCCCTCTCTTGTTCTTTCCTCATTCAGTATATTTGGGGGATTCCCCCGGTCTGTTGAGGGCAGCAAGGTGTGCATGTTCCAGGACATTCTTAATGTGGTTGCAGCCTGCATCGAGTCCATCCCCAAGCGCAGGAGCATTTGTGTTTGCTGATACATTTACGTTTTTGGTTGTAACATGACATGTGGAAAATTTCAAGGGGTATGAATACTTTTTCAAGGCACCGTATTAACGTGGAATGTATGTTCATTGCTAAAGAACATTATTTTTTATCAATTGTTTTGAGTAAAATTCTGCTGAACTAAACCCATCTATTTAAAACAGAGCTAAACCCATCAATTTAACGGTTTAAAAAAAAAGTTACAATCCTGGCATGCCAGGAATGCTGTCACATTTGCTTGTGTTCTAAACCATCCAATTATCAAATGGCTGGTATCATAAATGATCACATGTGCAGCACCATGGCAGGTGCAGATCAGAGGCTAAGATGGCAGCTTCCTTGGCTGAAAATTAAAGGAGGGTTTAGTTCCACTTTAACTGTTTACCAAAAATGTTAATTTCAAGGAATGCCATGATTGATAACTGTCACATTTGCTTGTACTCTCAACCAAACAGTCAAACCATCAAATGGCTGGTGTCATAACTAA